ATGTATTATATGCTAAGAGTACATTAAATTGGGTGGAGGTCATTAAGAGGAGATGTGGATAGGGAGGGACTCTAAATACCATCAAATTATATTTCATGAAAATCACAAAATTTCAATAAAAAAATAAATGTTAAGGAACTCAAGAGATGATTCAGTGGTTGAGAGCAGCAGCTGTTTTTCAGAGGACTGAGCTTGGTTCCCAGTACCCACATGGCAGCTAACAACCATCAGTAACTATTTCCAGTGGATTCAACGCCCTCTTCTGTCTTCCACCAGCACTATATACATGTGTTGCATTTACATACGTGTAGGCAAAACATACACATAAGATAAAAATAAATGTTAGAAAAACTTAAATCTTAAAAAACAAAGCTAAGATTTATTGACAGGATTAACTAGTGTTAAGGTAGAAAGGCATAAATAATTAAAGGCAAAACTCCAAAGCCTTTGTGAACAAAGATATCATTCAGAGATTAAGTAATAAGCAAGGAAAGCTGTGAGAAAGAAACATCATAAGTTTATCAAAAGCTAATTTGATAAAATGGCGGTAATTCAAGTGTTGACAAAAAATCATTAAAATCCCCAAGCCCAAACCAGAAGTGTTAGTCATATCTGAAATTGTAGATTTTAAATGTGAAACTTGGCTTTGATTTCAGCATACCTGGTTAGACTTAGCTGCTCATGCCTTTTCCTCTTAGATTCTTGCCTCCTTTGCAGTGTGTGCTTTCTCTGGGGAGCGAGCACTGAAAATCTTTCTATGGATTAATTTATATTTATAAATCTTTCAAGAACATCTTAGTTCCTTTGCAAGTGCACCTACTACTTCCCCTCACTTTCTTCCTCTCTTGTCTGTGACTTTCTAAATGCTAATTGCCCTCTAACATGTTGAAAAATATACACATGTGCATATTTATATATGTGTGTGTATAATTCTGTGTTTTCTAGATTTTACTTTTCTCTAATGGAGGGAAGTTTATGAAGAAGACTTTGATTGGAGAAGCTTGTATCTGGCTTGACAAAGTGGATCTCAGAAAAAGAATAGTCAACTGGCACAAACTTTTGGTCAGTCCTACCCAAACACATTGAAGATACATCTGATCAGGGTAAAGAAACAGATCTACATAGCCTCAGACCATGAGAGTTGGATACTATTGTGCTGAGCTTTACTTTTAGGGGCAAACATGGGCAAGGAACAAAGGCAGACAACATAAGTTAAGGTCTTGTAACTATATTATTCTGGAATACAGAAACTCAAAAAAGTTCATGTGTTGGAAACAAACCAGTGAATATAGAACTAAGACACAGAACTGCTCACAGCTGTGACAAGAAACTGTGAAAGAAGATTTGATTATTTAAGACAAATATCTTTGAGGAAAATCCAGCTGTAGCTGAAGACAGAGGCACAAGGGTTAACAAGGATTCCAAAGGTAGTGCAAAAGTAATCGTTATACACACAAAAACTTTGTTGGAAAGAACTGATATAATGAATCTCAGTTTCTAAAAGTTCAAAATTCCTTCTTCTTCTTAATATTCTCATACAACTTCCTGTTTTGGAATTCCTACATGAGTCATTTATAGTATTTCCACAGGACTGAAAGGTGGCTGTGTTTATGGAAAAAATAAAGCAAGAAATATAGAAAAATGGAATTTAGATTATATTGTGCAGGATTTTCCCTCTGTCTACATGTTTGAAGGTTATATAACACTAGTTTTGAAATCTATGTGGTAAAAGCACATGTTTTAGTATAATGTAAAATAATGAAGAGTGAAGATAACAGTAGATGAAAATGAAATTATATTTATCTAGAAATAAAATCAAAACCAGTTACTGGCTAGTAAAAGAAAATGTTGACCTGCAAAATACTGACTTCAGTTGAAAATATCAGTTTCCTTAATTTTCCATTAAGATAAGGCATTATCAGTCTTATATACCAAAGGACGTACATTAAATTGGTATATTCTGGGAAGCATGGTCATTTGTTCTTTATGGAACTGCAAACACACATATTATTTTATATATTTCCTTTCTCTTGAGTAATGTATTGTGAGTGACAGAAAATTATTTTTCTGGAAAACAAGTCATATTCATTTTATGCATTGATTAAATTTTCATAATTTCCTGATTTTCTGTGATTTTTGCCCTAAACTCATTAACTGGTTGTATAATGAAAATCCTGACACCAAATTCAAGTTCTGTCTTGTACTCTACTTTCCTCTGTAAGTGATAATATCACAATGATAAGGTTCATAGTATTAGGTAAGGATGTGAAAAGGATGTGTTTGAAATTAAAATATTCTTTGATATATTTTAATAATGTAGAATCAAATGGCTAATGTGTGATTTGTGAAAATGAATCATCTTCTATCCTATCAACCACCCATGTTAATAAAGATAGTAATACAGAGTTGGGGAAAATGTACTAATCTGGGATTAAAACCCTAGCTTCTGGTCCTAATTCTGCTACTAATCTTGCACGTCACCTTGAAAATATCACCTAAACCACCTCCCCCCCTCCCCAGTTTTCTTATCTGCAGAATAAAAATATAGTGGTGTATTCCTCACCTTCTTCATGAGGTGCCAGGATGCTTAAATTAAGAGATCTATGAAATATGAAAGCACATTTCCAAATATAGTTTTATATACAAAGTGAGAGATAATTGTGTAGCTTTTTGATTCTCAGATTTTATATGTGAGAAACAACCTCCAACCAATGATAAGCATTGGCACAAAAAATAGTAAATTACTCCAAAACTCATTTTTATTTAATCTCCATTTAACCTGAAAAAAATGAAGAATTAAATAAAAATTATTTGTTACACCAAATGTAGTGAAGTGCATAGCTCTTCTCTGATCCTCATATTCTACTCAAAATTAATCAAGTTACTCTGCAGAGTATTTGAACCTAAAAACTCTTGCTTTATGTGAGATGAAGTTTTATTAGGATTAGAGGAAATTGTCGCTAAAATGTTGGTTGGGTATTGAATTGTTTCACTTTAAAGAAAAATATTTTAAATTTGAAAGATACATAAAACCCTATAAATAAATTTCTAGTATATTCCAAGATATGTATCTTTGTTACACTCATAAAAAAATACAAAATCATTTTTCTCAAGCCTAAAACATCCATCACTTCCTTCTATCTTTTAATCCCTCCTCCTCTGACAATGCAATGGCATCGATCACTACTACTGTTCTAAATAAAGCATGGGGAGGTGAATTTCCAAAGACATGGTATTGCTAAGATTTTATTTTTAAGGACTACTAGATCTGCTGATGGTTACCATGGATATTTCCAGCAGAAGCTAGCACTTGAGGGAGCCTATAATCAGTCACAATTGAGGAGGAAAAGGGTCCAGGAAGATTTGACATCAAAAGGCTCTGCCATTTGCTCTTAGCAGGAAGCCCTGGTTCATCTCTTATTCTCTTCCGTAGCCGCGTGCACTCCACGGTTTCATTGCAGGCTGTCTGGCCAGGTAGTGAACTTCATTCTAGTTGCAACTTATACAAATGGGAGGACTACTAGGACAAGATAATCCTCAGTGGTTATTAAGCCTGAAGGAATGGGAGCCTTTCCTCTACACATGTCCGTCCATTCCAAGAAACTAGTGACAGGGCTAGATCAATCGAGAGAGTCAATGACAGGGCTTCTTTTCGTGCACCATTCGCCTCAAGAGAGCAAAAGCTCCTGCCAGTTTGCACCTGACCAAACCCCTAGGTTGTACTGGAATTGTTCTATGCAACAATGATCCTTATATGAATGCATTTCTTCTGAGTGATGTTGATTACCCTTCTTAAAACAAAACTATTTCTTTTTAAATTGCAAATAGGGCTCAGCATTTTTTACTTTTTTGTAAATACCACAGCACATGATTTTCCACTTTTTATTTTAATGTTATGTTATTGGAATTAGCTTTTTTATCTTAATAGCGACAGACTTTATAATCTTTAATTAATAAGTGATTAATCCAGTTATAGCACTTACACCTTGAAAAGCATCTCGATTTTCCTACAATTTCATTGAGTCATCAAAGACATGTTGCTTGTTGGCTTAAAATTCAGTACTAAAAAAAATCCTTCAATTGGAGAAGAAAAAACAGAGTGAACTTTTATAAAAGACAGGGAATTATCAAGTAATTATTCCAGATGCAAATAACACCAGTAACAAGAAATTGGTGTTTTCCCTGTTTTTACTTAAAATTAATAAAAATTTTGGTGACTGAATTTTTGTGTACCATTTCCATTTAAAAGAACAATATCCAACAGAAAGGGTTAGCAATTTCCCTTGTTCCTTAATATCGTCCATATTTTAATAATTCATGCTATTAAATACACATTCTCCACATGTGCGAGATTGATTTGGGGGAATCACACACACTAAAATAGTAGCATCATGGGAATATTATAGCTGGTAACCAGCTGATACTGATTCTCATTACAGGAGTAGTTACAATGTTGGTGGTAGCAGTAGTGATTAGTAGCGGTGGTGGTGTGAAATGAAATCAGTTATATATTAGTATATTGTGCCCAATTTATTAGAAATTATTTGATTAATGCTTCATTTCATTAAGATATCATAAAGATGTTTATAGTATTTTTTTACTTTATTATTTAAATCATAACTAACAATATTTTTAAAAACTTATTTTCATTGCGATAATGTCTAATAGTCCAAAATCAGCCAACTACAGGTATATGTATTTACTACTATATGTATAACAGAAGTAATTTTCCTTGTGGTTTTTTTGAGCTTGAAATTCAAGTGAAAGCTCAATACATACTTATGAGCTTTTCCTTTAGTAATTACTTGCCTTTAGTGTAACACAAGAACGAATGAGTGAAACACAAGAATGAATGCGTGAAACATACATTGTCATTGAATTCAACACATTGATGTTCTCTGTATGTCCTATGTTGTTATTATTACAGATACACATTAAACTAAAACCATTTAATCAAGTTCTTTATCTGATAGGTAGATTAAGAGAATTTTCTTAATCCATTATCCTGTATATAACTAGACATTTGGTAACATAAAATTGAAATATCCTTGTCCTTTGGAAGTCAGCATGTGACTATGACTATTATTTGATTGTGTCTGTGTATTTGTTTGGTGATGTGCTCAGGTGCTCCCACTACTGATAAATGTGTGTGCTAATATCTGAACAACATATCTGATGTTAAAGAAAAATATTTCTTGTCTAAGAAAAGTTTAAAACCTAATAAAATTGATTTCTAATAAACCATGAAATACTTGGAGATGTGTCTTGTTTCTGACAATATGTTGCATGCTTTCTTGGTGATTTGAGAATCTGATTTTATTTTTTGGTTTACCTAAATCACTCCGGAAATGAACAAATGAAAATTCATGGGCTATCGGTTCTATTAAACTGGCCTGAAAATATATGAGAACTGTGTAAAAACAAAATGCTTATAAATCTGTCTTGAGTTTTACTCTATGTAAAAATGTGTCTTTGTTTTGTGATTGTAAACAAGCTGTATCTTGATAACTTATGTAAATTGTGCTGTGTTGAGGCTGTTGTCTCAGCCTTACTAATAAATATTGAAAATAACAGTTTTGACATCTTGTGTTTATCAACAAATTTCCGGGTGCAGGCAGAATTGTATTTATACATAGTCAATGTGCAGCCAAAGTTTAAACCTACTACCTTACAGAAACAGAAACAGTGAAAGAGAAAAGATTGTTAGTACAGATGTCAGGTTTTGTGTGAAGGAAATTAAAAAAAAATCCATTATGTTAGGATTTACTGGATGAAATTAGGCATAAAGTCATCTACACAGAGGAAGCTAATAGGACTTAACTATTGGAAGAGAGAAAGAGGCTTAAAACGGTCCTTAAGTAGAGTGGGAGAATAATAACTAAAAGAGAAAGTTGTTCACATTGAGCATCCATGAGCTTAGTGCCATCAAGCTGCCTTGCTGCCACCTGTGGCTTTAGCGTGGGCGTAGAGTTACTCTGTACAAGCAGAGAAAGAACATGATAAATTCTAACCCTATCACACAGATTGAACCAAAATTTGGTGCTTTTTATATATATCAAGTTGCTATTATTAAAAATAGGTAGTGGGTGTGACATAGGAGGAGTTGGAGGGGAACTGGGGGGGCTAGAAATATTGCAAATTAACATAATATGTATCGAAAAATTTTTGAGATACACATTCTACCAAAATCACTTAACCAAGTTATTAATTTGCTAAGTAGATTGAAAAATGGTGAAGAAATGGAAAGAGAGGTTCATAATTCATGAGGATCAGATCACATATATTGCCATAAGTTCTGATTTTTTTTTTGAACAATCGTATTGCGATAAAATAAATATGATTCAGCAGGGGCTATAAAGTTTGTTTATTTGTCAATTAAAATGGTTACAAATAAAATATGTGTGGATATATTTAAGACTCTCTATACTTTGCATTTTTTAAAAAATAGGAAATTGCAATTTTTCAGTATACTCAGGATTGCAACTGAATAGTTGAAAGAAATAGCTGAACGTGTGACAGTATTGATTATTAGTTAAAGTGACCAACCTTTTTTTTTTCATTTTCTGTGTAATACTTTACTCGGATCATACTGACCCCTGGTTGATCAAATGTCATTTCTGTTTTTAGTGGGAGAAAGTTTCTATGTTGGGGACAGACTTTACTCTGTTTCTCTACAAAATTAAAATTTGTTCTAACAGAAAAACTTGATAAACTGTTAGTATCAATTGATTAGAGTTTTTGAATAATTCAAGCACTTCCTTAAAAGTTGCTACACAAGTTTGTTGCTGTAGACATTTAGAAGAAAGTCATATACTATGAATTACTTCTTTATACTGGTAATTGGGATTTGCTGACAGAATGAATTATAACTACCTACAATAAATAATGCAGTTATGCCTCATTTAGACCCTATCAACACTTACTTAGATTTTCACAGAAGCTTTTTAATAGTGCTACTGTCTCACCTCTTTCAAATTCATCCTCTTCACAGCCACTTGT